AAAAATATGCAGTGTCATTAAGTCTGAAGTTATTATTGGCGCCCTGTTAGGGGTGTTCAGAAAAATGAAGCAATCTTAAATAGAAAAAGTGTCTACGGTAAAGAGAACTGGGCACATGAAGTGGCTATACCAATAGTTGCCTAAAGATGATGCGCCGGTTATTAGCACTTGGCGATCCCCCAAAATGGGTAAAAAGATTAATAAATAGTAGATGAATACAGGAATGCAAACAAATATGTGGCTGCAGGCAAACCGGACGTAGTCTCCTCCGTAACCATGGGACATTTTTCGTTTCCTCGCCTCAGACTCAGTCCATGCATGGGGGTCCAAGATGGACACGAGCATATTAACAGGTAAGTTAAATACATACACACAAAATTTGGCCCCTATGTCTGTGGGCGAACGGGGGCGTGTGGAGACGGCAGTAGCCGGCAACTTGGGGGGTCAGATGCATCGAGAAGCAGCTATGGTTTTGCCTACAACATTTTTAATGCGAAAAAACAATTCACGCGATATGTGTGCCAATATATGCAAGATTTTTAAGTCTGGCGAGTATCTTCAGCCGTCGCAAGGGATGCCAAAGTTTAGCAGCGGTGGGAAGTGTCCAGAGGCTATGGATGAAGTATGAAAAAAATGTGCAACTAAAGTGGATATGCTATTCAGTTGTAGTTGTCTTCAAGGCTCTGTTTTATGTTAGCTTAGAGGATGAAATTGGATTTGTTCGCTCACAAACAACTCCGAACAACTATGCATAGGCAGTGAGCCACTTTGGCCTATTCATACTGTGCACATAAATCGAACTTTCCAGCTCGGATGTGATTTAGCCAAACATGCAATACATTTCCTTCTCCTAGACAGACTGCTCGAGGACGCTTGCCGACTGGATGCGTAGCCGTCCTGCCGACAACTGCACATGAATAGGCCGGTGGATGCACAGGCGTCAGTGTGTACTCAGGAATAGAGAAGAGGGTGTTTGCACACGCGCCCCCGCAACTAGACAGTTCGAGCTGGTTTCAATCGCACCGTTCGACTGAGAGGTAGGCAACGCGTAGCCTCGGCTTGAGCCTTTTCCCCTTTGGCACAGCATTTTCAGACGGCCAGCCAGGCACAAAAGCACCGTGTGGCGGCTCTTCGTCTAGAGTCTGTCGGACTGGACCGAGTTCTTGTGACAGAAATCACAAACTTTCAACGTGTAGGGAATGAACAAATTTGCCATCACTCAGCAGCCGATTTATCCGGTCTATAGGGACTGGAATGATGGACTTTGCGGTTGTGGAAACGATTGCAGAATGTGTAAGTTGCTCCTCCAAACATGCTCTGAAAGAATGTAAGTCAGAATGGCGAAAATACCCTTAGAAAGCTACAATATATTTCTTTTACAGCTTTGTTTGATCCCATCATGCTTGACTAAGAGTTGTGTAAGTCTTTATACTCACAAGACGCCGTCGGAATCCTCTTGACCGGCTTCTGTATGATTTTTTACTCGGTCATATGATGTCAACAACTGGAGGATGGGGTTTTGAGGACTGAGGCAGTCTAAACTATTCTCTTAAACAAATCTTCACACAGTTTGATAAGAAGTGAACTTCGGTTCATCAATCAAAGCATCATCGGTAGAGCCATTGGAAACCTGTTTATATTCTTATTCTTAGCCTACTTTTTTCAATATTCTTTAGGGCTGGCTGTGAGGATGAAAATATGCTTAGCTTATTTTTATGCATTTGAAAAAAACAAAAAATATAAATTATTTAATTAAGATGTAGGCTACTTCAACTTGAAGTCTTTACGATATGACTCTTTGTTTATAATTATGCAATGACAAACCCACTGGATTGTAGGTTGTTGAACTTGGGAATTTTGCTTCCCAATTACTCTTCAATAAACCCTCGCCACATTTATTTTGCCTTGACTGATTGTACTTTAAGGGCAAAATAATCACTATTTTTAACCAGTATAGGGGAAAAATTAAATCTTATTCCGATTAAGACCAATATTTCAGCAGACTCAGAAAATGTGCACAAGGAAAATCGACACAGTCGCAAATGGTTGATTGTAGAAGTTCATTGGCTTACCCATGATCCACCGATTTAAATGAAGAATACAATAGCTATTCTGTTATTTTCAAGCTAGAAACGAGCCTGAATAAAAAGTTAAGGTTTGTATAGCAAAAATGCAAAAATACCCATTTTAGGAAGAGGCATAATAAAATTAAACACATTGGTATGTCCATTGTTTCCGACAATGAACCGGTTTATTTTGCATGCACAATATGCTCCAGTAAACTTAACAGCCATCTATACTGGAGACTTGGTCAAAAACTCAAGGTAAAATCGCATAGACTTGGGCGTCCTTTTTTTGATAGTTAGACTATATTTAGCAAAAACATAATTCTGTTATATGGACTACTATTTCAAAGGCTTGGTGCATTAAAAATTTGGCTGCTTACAAAGAAACCAAATACACAAATAAAATTTCATTGTACTCTATCGTTGAATGTTAAAATTTTTAAAGATATGGCTAGAGGATGCAAATTTAATTCATATTTTCCCAAATTTAATCATATGATTATTGTAAATCTATAAGCAAAACCATATATTCTGACTATATGTTCCTTTGTTTTTCTATTCTGCTCTACTTGTTTTCCACTCATCTCTTCCAATTCTATTTTCTCTCCATCCCTACTTGGATTTGAACACCATCGATTCTGATGAAACTCTAAATAATTTAA